GGACGCTGAAGCCCACCAGCTGCAGGGCCGTCTGGGGGTGGGCTCTTCAACCTTGTTGGGGACTGGACCCTGGGGAAGGGACCGATGGGGTGTTGGCTGACCAAGGAGAGCTGGGCATCCATTTGCCTCCTGGAGCTGTGCAGGGCTGGGGATATGGTAGCATAGATAGCGTTTGGGGCAGACTCCTCGGTGGATGTGGTAGCAGTGGAAGTCATGCTGACGGTGTCCTTCTCGGAGTGGCTAGGAGGGGGCGTGGGGTTTCGGGGGGCCACGAAGAAGAGGCCTGACTGAGAGGACTCGGAGGAAGGGCGCTTGGGCTTTTCTTTCTCTGGGTTCCTGTGCTGGGCAGCAGAGGGGTCCAGCATCCGAGGGGCTGAAGGAGGAGGCGGAGGCTTGAAGTTGGGTGGTTCATCTGGGAAGGAGGAGAGATCATCCTGCCAGGCCAAGAAGAGAAGCCTTTAGGACACCATGCTCAGCTGCGAGAGCTTCCCCAGGCTCACAGTCACTGCATCTCACACCGCCTTCTCACAGCGACCACGGCAAAACGAGCCGATTTTCACAGAAACGCCTTTCTGACCTTATCGGCGATAAGAATACGACTCAGAAATGAGGATGATTAGAGGACAAACTACCCAACTTTCGCTCTGGTTTGCACCGATCCTGCTCTTACTCAGCCAGCCAGAATCCTCCTTCCTAACTGACCTGATTAATTCGCTTTATTGGCTGCAGTGACATCCACAGGCAGGTGATGGGCAAAGAGCTACAGAGGCTGAGGCAAAACTCGGTATCATCGATTTGCCTGCAGCTCCCACCCGAGGTGCAGCAGTGGCGCCGTGTCTTACCAGGGAGATGTCCGGCAGCGTGTTGATGCTACTTTGGTGGCTGTCTCCACCTCCTTCCAATTCTGACGTGTTCTGACAGGGCAAAGAAGGAAGAGAAAAACAGGTCACAGCAGCAAGGAGCAACCATCACAGCACCAACATGATGTGGAACATGCAGAGTGATGCACGGCATCGCCCAAACCCCCCCAGGCAAGGCCAGTCTTTCACCCAGTCTTTCACTGGCAGGTTCCCTAGAGACTCACACGTATGAGCAAAGCAACTTGGTTGGGAGAGGGACTCTCCCAAGCTAAGAAGGGTGCTCTAAGCGTGCTGTGAGCCTGAGCTACCAGGGCAATTTCCTCTGCAGCGGAGGAGCAGGCTCCTCTGAACTCAGATCTCAGCTCCTCATGTTAAATTTGAGGGGAGGAACCAGCTCTGAGGGCTGCAGGTTCGATGCCTGGGTCTTTCCCGGGAAAAGGACAATGAAAATGTTTAAAACTTCCCTCCCTTGCAAACCAGAGCCACCAGTCTCAGATGCAAATAGAAGCTGCGGCCACTGCCTTTGCTTTACGAGTCAAGATGTCACGAGAAAATGTCACAACATGGCTCTGAACACACACCAGAAATCAAGAAGGGCTTAGGGAATGTGTCAGTCTGTCTGCACAGGGGCAGCTGTCATCGGGACGGACCCAAGCACAGGATGCTGAGTATAGCCCAGCAGAGCAAACGGGCACCCTGGCTAAGGAGCAGCGGGGAGCAGACACGGGGTGTGCAGTGGAGGGTGCAGAGCTCTGCCCTGGCGAGTCAGGCCTGGCCCTGAACAGGGCTGAACCCAGCTGGTCCCGAGCCCAGCCCAGAGCCATGGCTCTGCTGGCTGTGCCCCCCGTGCTGGGGGGTGCTCTGCCCACTGTGCACGTCCCCAGCTCTGCCTGGTTTCCCTGCAAAGCCCTGAAAGGGCAAACCCCCCTCCCACAGTAACTCCTGATCCGGAGAGGTGCAGCTGCTGCTCTGAAAGGGTGGACTTCGTTTCCGTCATGTCCATGGGGATGTTTGTCTGTTTGTGCCGGAACGGGCAGGGTACAGTTTGTGTTTAACTGTGCGTTATTTATTGCAGGGTAAACAACTGATTAGTTGAAATGCTGGTGCATCTGCATTCCCCCCATCTGCTGGAGGCTGCTGCTGTGCCTGTAAGATGTTAGCGTCCCAAAATAGACACGGGAGACAATTAAGAGCATTAGAGAAGCAGCAAAAACATTGATGGGAAGTGCTTTTATCTCTGTGGCTTCAGAAGGAACCCTGGAGAATGAGAAGTAAAAGAAACAGCTTGTTCAGAGAGCGACAGGGAAAGTATTAGCTTGGGAAACCATTTCTTCCTCTCATTAGGGCCGATTTCATCACCAACTAATCCAACATAAAGGCAGGTGGTTTTTGAAAAAGAAACATCCTCTACCCCTTCTAGGGTTACTGACCCTGCAGCCAAGCCAGGGCAGAAGACTGATTTGGCTGAAACACATGGAATAGCAACAGAAAGATCAGGCTTTGGCCAGACCTGACGTGCCCCAGGACTGTGCGTATCCAAGTGCTGCCATGAAGGACGAGGCGATACCACACGCCTGAGGCTGGAGGAAGAGGCAGGCAGGGCTATTTCAAAAGCCTCCTGCCTTTGTATTGATTAAAACAATCATGAAACTCTCTGGGCCGTGCACGTGTGAGCAATAGGACTTCAGATGTGATCGAAGTGCCAATGAGTTTAAAAAGCTCGAGTGCCGTCACGTCCCTGCGTGACGCCAAGGAGCGGAGATGCTCAGCCAGATGGAACGCGGCGCTGGGGAAACTGCCCCAAAGTGTCCCAGCATGCTCCCCCCAAAGCTCCCTCCTTCTGCTGTCATCTCTAAAGCTGCTCTGCAGAAAGCTGCCCGAGTACCAGCCTCCCCCTGCACCAGCCCACCTCCAAATGCTGCCCAGAGCCTTTAATCCAGCCAAATGGCTGTGTGCACACGGAAAGGAGCCAAGGCAGAGATGGTGGCATTTCAGCACCAGCCCGGCCACGTTTGGGAGGATCTCAGCTGCGTCCCGCGCTCTTCCCTCTCCAGCCCTGCCTCTGCCAGCCTCAACCTGCCTCCAAGAGTTCACTGAGCTCTTGGCAAACGCACGAGGACCAGACCCCTGCGATATGACCGGGAGCAGCGTGCTGGCTAATAGCCATGGTTACATTGGTACTAGAAAGAGAAGAGTCTGCTCGATGCCCCCCTAAAATCTGCCGGTGCCATCTCCCCCAGTCCTGCCACTGAACTTTGTGCCCATCACTGCGACATCAAGCCCATCCCAGAGCGCATCGTGTGCAGTGTCCCAGCCTAGGCCTGGAGCCAGGACTGGTCTGCACCGAGGCTGGAATCCTCCTGGCAAACGGAGGGTGGGCACAGCCAGCTGCGCCCCATGCCCTCCCTGCCAGCCCAGCCAGACCACCGGAATCCCGCTGCCCCGGCTCTGCTCTCCCAGCACAGCCGGGGCCACCAGGGACACGGATACTGCTCATCATCTTCAGGGCACTTTTTTTTTTCTGCTGAAGCATGCAGGCAGGAGATTTGCCTTTCCCCAAGCTTGGTACTTTGGGGGCAAAAGCAATTAAACAGAACTTGCTCTGGGCTATAAAATGTAATGGCTTTTAAGCCAAGTACATTTGCTTTCAGGAATTGGCTATTTTAAGATTGTGCTTTCCTGGATTTCCCTTGAAAGGCCCATCAAAGCCACGTGCCACTGCTCTGAAAAATGAGTATTTATTGAGGAGGCTGCTCCCTCCTGCTGACTCTCTGCTCCCTTACCCCATCTATTTTCTAGTTACCTATAGAAATTGGGCCAGACGGGGCCCTTCCCGCCCCTCTGCAGGGAGCAGCTGGGGGACTTTTGTCCTTCCTATCTCACACGGAACCCATGGTAGGAGCGGTGGAGGTGGAGAGCATCTTTCAGACAGGCAGCCAGTCTCTATCCGCTGATTAAGTGGTGGAGAAACCGCCACCTCCCTGGGGAATACAACCCAACCTTTAATTAACCCCACAGCTCCAAATGAGTCCCTTATTTTCCAGTTACTGCTAACGAAAGCTTTGCAGAGCTACTCAGCCCGACTCCCCCAGGGATTAAATTTGGAACAACTGTGCCAGTCTGAGAATAAGCCCAGCTTCCCTCCCCTCTCCCCTTCCCTCTCCCACTCCAGAACGCATCCGCAGGGCTGGAGGAGCCCAGAGCCCCCCGCCCAGCCCCAGCCTCAGCACAGACCTCTCTGACTCTGGGGACTCTGAGGGTGACACAGTGACACCCACGCGGTGACCTCACTCGGTCTCTACCCTCATCACCTGAAAGGATCATGCCAAGCACATGGGACCCTCCACAGGAGATGTCTGTGCCTCTCCTGGAGGGGGTCAGAGGACAGCTGGGAGCTGGAGCAGCTCCGTAATGGGGGCCATGGGTGAGGATGATGTCCCCTGTTTCTCCGCTCTCGTTCTGCCCTCACTCTGGGGACACAGAGGTCATCTGCCAAAGAGGCTGTGGGCTCTTGTGCTTGAGATTCACCTTCCAGAGAAAGGAACGGTTCGTTTTCATCCTCTCCTTACTTATATCTCTTGTGAAACGGAGACCAAAGACAGACAGGGACTAGCAGCTCAACTGCATTACTGGGTCCCATCCTGCAGCTTCAGGGAGCTGGGAGCAAGTCAGCACCTGTGGAATCAGGCTCTGGGAGGAGAAAGCACCTTTCGATGGCAGCATCTTTGCTAGGAGGCAGTGGAGAATTAAAATGAAATCAACAGGGATTTCAGTTCCTTAATCCTAACAAAGAGGCTGGGGCAGGAGGCAGGGACAAAGGAAAGGCCAGGTTGCCTTGCTGTAAGCAATTAGCAACTCATACCGCTCCCATCAGACAAGTTACATCTGATTATTCCAGTCTACATTTAACCTCTGCTTCGCAGGACTCATCTTGAGATCCAAGATCCACAAGAGGTGATGGCAACGGATAAGCAGGCACACAGCAGCCATGGGTGGCACTAGCAAACACGGCTTTGTCTCATCTCCAAGTATCCTTCCAGCATCCTGTAATGGGACCACTTTTCACATGGCAGGTTCTGATCAGCCTCATACTGGTTATTTTTGGCCTAAGCTCACCCACTGACCCACAGAGAGCTGATGGGACAGGTCTAGTGTCACTGCCTTTGGTCATGAAGCCAAAAAATACTGTCCCACATGGTTCAGGGTGCCCATGATAAGCTCAATCTGGGAACGCTACAGCCATCCTCTTCTAGGTAAGTGCTGTTCCCAGAAGGATGTGGCTTTGGGGCAGGTTCACAGCTACCAGAGGTCCTCTCTCCCAGAGAAGTGCTAGCAGCTCTCAGCTCCACCACTCGCTCGTGTGTGCCCAACCCATTGACCCCTGCAATTTCCTCCCAGACAAGGAGGAGGGAATGCGCTCCACACCATGGAGCTGCACTGGGGCATGAGCCTGCGGCTCTTCTCAGCCTCCTCCCAACCAGGAGCTCTGTGATGGCCAGCAGGATTCCTGGGGCTCTCCCCACATCCATGTCCAGCCTCTCCAAAGTCTGTGCAAGGATCTCTGCAAGGCTGAACATGCTCAATGCGACTACATTGACCCCTCCTGCCCTGGAGCACAGATTATTGCAGACCCAAGATCCCTGCAGATGCGTGATGGGATGTGACCAGCCTACGGGTGTTTAGCCAGGGTGCCCACAGAGGGAGAGAGCAGAGCAGCACGTAGAGCAAGTGACAAGGCAGGAAGGGCAGTCTGGGGTCCAGCACGCATCGAGACACTGCTGGTCCTTCTCAAACCCCTGCCCTGAGCTGTCAGCGGCACTCAGGGCTTTAGGGAAGCAGGACACTGGTCCCAGCTGGGTTTAGTTCAAGGATGAGTCTTGTCCACAGTGTGGAAAGGGAAAGGGAAAGGGACTCTGAAACAGCTCAGCAAAGCCACGGGACGAAAAGACAGAGATAGGGGAAGCGAGGCAGCTGTTCTCGTGGCTGAGTCGCACACTGGTCCCTGGCCGGGTTGGACCCCCCTCCCGTCCCACACATTCGCACACGCTCGCAACCCGTCTGCTACGGCAACCACAGCACTCGAGCTCCGCGTCTCGCTGACAGCCCCTACCTCCATCAGGTCTATTAGCCACAGGAGCCGCTCCTGGGGATGTGCGAGGGGAAAACGCAGGTGAAAACAAGCATAAAAGCGAAAACAACATCAGGGAGGATGTAGAACAAATGAGCGAGACAAGCAAATCCCGGCACAACGCACCCCTCCTTCCCCAAGCCCACCCTGCAGAACACACATCCAGCTGCAGCTGGCGGCTTAGGGCAGAACAGCACTGAGCAAAGCCTGGGAGCTCTGCCCCTCTCCTCCCTCTCCTGCTAGCTGAGATCAGCACCCATCCACCGCGAGCCGGGGCTCTTGGCTTGGCAGTTGTTTTGGAAAAAAAAAACCATCTGAAGCGTTGGTGTTCCCACCACCAAGGCAGAGCTCAGAGAGGTGCATGTTCTGACACTCATGGAAAGAGGTGCCATGTTGCCAGGAAAGACCTCCAGCATGACCAGGGGACACGTTCTTGAAGGAAGGTCTTAAAAATGAGGCCAACTGGATGGTGCTCACTCTCTTCTCTATGCCAGAACAGCACCCTGGTCGCCCCCACTGACCTCTGGGCCCGTGTGCCCGGAGGGGCTGGGCTGTCGCTCACACATCGGGCCAAGCAGCCATGCTTGGCACGTGGTGTGATGGAGCAGGAGGGACAGCACGGCGCACCCAGAGCGGGTGGCAGAGCCCCAGGCACAGGGACAGCGTGGGAGCAGGGTGTCAGGCTCAGCGTGCTGGTCCCAGCAGACCCGCCTCAGCCCTCAGATGCTTCCGAAGGATTTTCCCAGGTGCCCTTTGGAGAGCAGCACAAAACTCGCTTTGTTTATCCGGATCCAGAACGGATCTCACCGTAACCCACCCCGAACAGAGCAGACGGCTTTCCTACGGGGATTTGTGAAGTCAAGGGGCAAAAGCACAGCTCTGGCGCTCTGAGACTATCCGAGGCCTCTCGGGATGCTGGACCGAACCGCGACGGCTGGCAGAGCCCCCAGGAAGCCCCCTGCCCCGTGTCGCCCGGGCCCTCCGCAGCACAACCCCGGCCGTGGGCTGTTTTTCTCGCTGACAAACCAGCAGAAAGCCCATTGTCATCCCTTCTACTCACGAAGGTTTTAATTTCCAAGGTTGCTAATGCATTTATGATGAAAGGCATTTTACGGCTCAGAAATTAATTTCGGGGCTGTGTGCCTGCACGCTCTCTGAAGTGATTACGATAACTTAATTAGACGGTGCATGCGATGAAGGCCTGGCAGGGACGTGGGAGAGCTGCTGCTTCATGCTGGGGAGCAGGCAGGGGCTGGGGCCGGGCGCCGGCGGTCCGGGCGGCCTGGGGCCCC